TTTTGTACATCTATTTAATGATACTGATGATCTTGTATATGTTTTTCTACAATTATTTAGTAAAGGGACAAAAATTTTGACATTAAAAGCCACAAATAACATTGAAGAGAGTTACAATTTAGGATACAGCTTCCTTGTTTTCTTTTTTAATAGCCTATAGCAAAACAATTTGGAAAATTATTTTTCCAACAGAAATAAATAGAGTCAAAGTGCAAACTTTAAACCCTCATAACTCCGAAATTTTTATAGATAATTTTTTTTTAACATTTTTTCTATGTTCCTGGTATCTTACCTTATATGGCATTTTTCTCTGGGGCGCGAGTTCTGGCGCACCCTGTATAAATTTAATTGCCAAAAAATTTGATAGTTTCGACAGAATAACATCGTTTCCAGACTTTTGGAACACTCTGTATTGTTATCACTGATGATTGTAGGCTAAATACCCCTTCGACCCCCTCGCCGGTGCAAACCCCCGATTCGAGTCGCCCCTCTAGTGAGGAAAAGCCGGACCTGTATTGCGCCCTAGCTAACATGTCGTGTCCTCGGTGCTCCGTGGGGTGTGCAAATTTCCTTAATACACTCCTGGTATGTGGGGGCTATGACCGGACTGAATGTCTCCGTACAGTCGAACAATACATTCCTGAAACCAACACTTGGAAATTTCTACCATCGATGAGGGATAATAGAGGGCGCTTTAAAATCGCTGTTGTTAATGATAAAGTCTACGCTATTGGTGGTAGTAATGGAACAACTGAATTAGACTCAGTGGAAATGCTCGACTTGTCATTGGATAAATGGGTCAAGATGCCTAAAATGCCATTGGCTAGGAGTAACATGGGGGTGTGTCATCTCGACGGCTTGATCTACTGTATAGGGGGATGGAACGGTCAAGTTGGTATTAAACAGTGTGATGTTTTCGACCCTGTCGCATCCGAGTGGAGTTCAATCGCGTGTTTGAACACCGGTGAGTAAAACAGTGTTGCCAACTGACGAAAAAAATAACTGGTTTAAATAGGTCGTTATCAAGCGGGCGTGACATCATACAATAAATTGGTTTATGCAATTGGGGGCTGCGACGCCTGGAATTGTCTCAATTCGGTGGAAGTTTACAATCCGGAGGAGAACACGTGGAGTGTCATTAAACCGATTATAACAGCCCGACGTGGATGCGGTGTTGCCGTTTTCAACGATAAGTTGTACGTGGTTGGAGGCTCCGACGGGTCGCATTCGTTGAGTTCCACGGAGATTTTCGATGAGAAGACACAAACGTGGGTGGTGGGGCCCAGTTTGACAACGCCGCGGGCTAATGTCGATGTGGCCGTGGTTGGGGATCGGTTGTATGCAGTTGGGGGCTTCTCAGGGAAGAATTTCTTGAATACGATTGAGTATTTGGATGCGAAGTCGAACGAGTGGACGACGTTTGTCCCCAGGAAGAGTCATAATTAGGGTTATTTCATGTTTAGAGTAATTGTCTCACGCCTAATATCACTCATGTTAATCAAGTGTAATCATATTAGGGCAAGTATTAAGAATAGACGTCTCAAGAATCGCATTTGGGGGAAAATGACTGCATTTGTTTGAGTTTGAAACTTGAAAATTCCAAGTCTGATGGTGATTCTTGAGGCGGGAAATATAAATGTTTACACCGAATTATATATTTGTAGATTGTTGGGTTAGAATTTCCCTACTTTTTATAAGTTTTTAATTCGTTTCAAATTTGTACGCAATTTTTTATATGATGGAAAAAAATATATTTTAAATACTCTTTTCCACTTGCAATAACAAAAATTATATAAAAATGGAACTTTCAACAATAAAGTAAAGTATTTAAAGACATTACTATAGGTCATGTTACTCTATTTATTAGTAAATAATATAAAGTATGATTGTTACTTCTATAAATGTTTGCAACGGCTGGAGTGCGACCTTTGTGATTGGATAATATTGAAATATCTGCATATTTTGCCATATTTGTATAATTGAAGTGGTTATTGGATGAATATATGTTTTTCTTTTCTAATAAGCAATTCGTCTTTTATTCCTAATCAACAAAATGAGAAAAAAAAATAGGCCGGACCGGGGATCGAACCTCAAACCGAAGAGGTTGCTACCAAATTCGGTCCCATGCAATTTCGGACGCAATCGCCAAATGCTTTTTTAACATAGTAAACACACATAAACCACTAATTCATTTACAATTTCGACTTTACTTTTTTTTGCCATATTATTATGAGCAAACCGTTAATTTTGAATTCAGTCATATGCGTTTTCGGTCATCTGTCAATAACAAATGGTAACGTCACGGAATCCGTAAAATATTTTACAAATTCTGTTTTTTATCATTTTGAACCACTAATGAATCGTCTCGACTTTTATTTGTAATTTATAAACAATAACAGTTGAGTTTACTTTTTAATTCGGTCGTGTGTGTTTTCACAATTTCCCGATATGGCGTCATGTCAACTGTCAGAAAAGTGACAAATGGCAAACCATTATGAGGTGCCAAATTGGTAAATAACCCTTGAAAAACCATTTCCACCCCCACTTTATCGTCTCGGGCCCCCCTGTGTCATAAATGCACACGCTTTGCGTGTTTGCATTGTTTGAGGTTATGTTGTTTCAGGGCCGGTAAGCCCCCAGTGGGTTTACATTTGGACGTGTTGAAGGGCGACAAACTGATCCAGAAATTGATGATCGACGACAAAAAGTGTTACTTATTTGGGCGTAACGCCCAAATGAACGATTTCTGCATCGATCATGCGTCTTGTTCTCGGGTCCATGCAGCCCTCGTTTGGCACAAACACCTAAATCGGGCATTTTTGGTGGACTTGGGGAGCAGTAAGTGTCACATTGGTGCAAATGGGGGCTGTTGTGTGAGAAACGTGATAATTTGTGTTGTTTTAGCCCATGGCACCTTCATAGGATCATTAAGACTTGAGGCGTATAAACCCACTCAGTTGCCTATTGATTCTAGTTTTCACTTTGGGGCGTCGACGCGAAATTACACGATCAGGGAGCGCCCCCAGACGGGCATGCGGCCGATCATTGACGAGATCGAGAAGGCGGGCGAGGAGACCGAGGGCGGATTACTAGGCCTCCCAGAGACAGAAACCGAACTCGATGTAAGCCCCGCCCCTAACCTTGTGGAATCCCCGCCTCAATTTTCTTGTAGAATCTGACGGAGTTTAACACCGCCCACAACCGGAGGATTTCCATGCTGGGGATCACCGACGACACGGAAAAACGCAACACAAACCGGAAACGGAAACGTCAAGTTGTCTCCTTCAACGAAGACGAGGAAATTATCAACCCTGAAGACGTCGACCCCAGTATAGGGAAATTCCGAAACTTGGTCCAAACCACTGTTGTCCCTTCCACTGTCAAAAGGGCCAAATTCGCCGCTGACAGCATCGGGATCCCCACCGAATACAAAAATCCCAAACACTCCGCCCCCGACCTGTACACAGACCTGCCCCCCGAATCCCACTCCCCCAGCAGTTCGGGGAATTTAAGCATTTACAGTTCACTCAGTTCACGCCTCGGGATGGTTCTACCCAATCCGGCGCCCGATGTCGACATGGGACAAAACTTCGCCCCGCCCACTCCCTTTGTCCCGCCCCAAGTACAAATCGCAGACGCGATGGAGCCCAAGAAGAAGAAGTACGCCAAGGAGGCGTGGCCTGGCAAGAAGCCCACTCAAACGCTATTGGTGTAAAAGTAGGTATAAGGTTTTGATGTAAAATTTCCTCAACTATGAAATAAAAAAATCATTATTAAAAGAATTACTTCGCCCCGCCCACAAAGAGGCGTGGTCACAGCTATAACAATCGAAAAATTACTTGACAAAAATGGAATAAAAGGCAGTTTTCGGTCAAAACTCGTAGAAAATCAATATTGTATGACAGATACGACATCAGCGGGTACTTTTTCCCTCCCTTTGAGCGCCCCAAGTTCCATTAAAACCAAACAACTGGCGACTTCGCCCCCCAGCCCTCGCACTAGTTGGCACGCCGCCCCCAGACTGCCCCCCGTGGCCAACAAATCGTCCACTAGGAGCACCCTTTGACCCCTCCTTATGCTATTTTCCTGAATTTCGATCGTGTCATGGCCGTATTCGAGAGCATACTGCGCCGAGAGGGTTTTCCCCGGCAATTTTCCCTTTTTCCGAATGGGAACAAACGGTATTTGCAACTCTAGGGAGACGAAAGGCCCCAAAAGGAACCCCCGAGCGTCCAACCCCACAACACACTCCACAGGGGGCTCGATTTTTCGCGCAAGAGACACCAAAACGTCACGTAAAGTTGCAATCAGCTCCGGCTGTTGAAATACTGAAAACATGTCCCTAAATGGGGGTAATGGGCGAACTTGGGGGCGAATTACCTGAAGAGGATCCCGGGCTTGGGGAAATCGGGGTACGACCGCACGTTGGCCTTAATTTGAGCGATTTTTTCATCGAGATCGGACATTTTCAATGGAATGCTTTAATAATTAGATAATTATCACTTAAATGCGAATTTGAGGTTAGGGGGTGAGGGTCACATTTGCACCAATCACAGACAAGCTTTCTAGGCGCGCAATTCAAATTTTGATTTTCACCTAAGTCAAACAAGGAAATAATAAATGTTTTACACTCTTGAGGCTAATAACACAATAAAATAGTTATTACAGTGTTGAGATTAATACAGTTTGGGAGATTTCACCCAAAAAATGCGAATTTGAGGTTAGGACGACTTTGTTTTGAGGTTTTGACATTTGCACCAATCACAGTCAAGAGTTTCAGGCGGGTAATTCAAAATCCAATTTTACGTAATCATTTTTATGGTAAAAAAACACTTAAATGGTTCTGGTTTTCACATTTATTTGTTTTGTTGCCGTGTAGGGGTTATACAGTAATAAAATAAAGGGGCATTTAACATTACGTAACGTGAAATAACGACTCATGTTTCTGTTTAATGAAACTCAACTATTTACATAAGAAATGATGCAAATTCACAAGAACAAATAAATTTATTACATAAAGTTGTCTATCATTAGTCTATTAAGAGCAACTAGCATATTAAAAGATTATACAGGAGCTTTGTGGACCAAGTTGAACCAATGCCCACACTCGCATCTTCGGGGCTGCCCCTTGTACAGCCACATCCAGTTGACACTAGTCGACTCCTCCTCGCAGATGCACCCCACAAGTCTGGCATCGAACGCCGAGGGAATCTCGTTGGGCTTGTCCTTGGTGCCGGGGCCCCTTTTGATCACTTTCAAGTCGAAGGGGTTGTCATTGCCGGCCACTTTGGCCATCAATTCGCGCTTCTCCAGACCGGTGGCGTGCTCCAGGGGGTCCCCCATAGTCACTGAAACAACACAAGGATTACGTAATGGGGATTACGACTCAGAGAACGTGCAAAGTTGACACTTTAGGGCAACTTCATGAAACGGGGGACTCACCCTTGGTGGCAAACCTGTAACTTGTACATAGGACGTTTTTTCTGGCCGTTTTCAGGGCAATTCGACTGCAGAGAGAAGCCATTTTGGGACCTTTTCCCGAAAATTGACAACTGAAAACTTGTTTCCGTTTCGTTCGATTTTGTTACTAAATGGCAGGGGGCGCCACCGCTGATCCACCAAATCCACGCCAAAAAAAAAACAATTTTCACGTAAATTCCCTAATTGAAACACTCTTGAACCCCTCACATGGATTAATAACGCAATAATTATTAATTACGTATTTATTTTGCACAAATTTGGGTAAATACCACAGTTGGCACCACTGTCTTGTTACTGTGGGCATGCGCACTGGTGGCAACACTTCCTTTTCTCTAAACGATTGACAAGGTACACGTTTTGTTGCTTTTAAGCAATTTTCTTTTAATTTTTTGTGAAATAAATACATCAAATTTGGGTGAAATATCGCGAAAATGTGATTCCGCAAGGTTTAATCTCTGTGTTGTGATTTTCCCGGGCGATGATGGTGCGCGAAACCGGTGATATTTTGTGATTATTTTGCCACTACTTGTTTACTTAAAATCGAGAAATTTTCACAAAATCGTCGCATTGATGTATTTATTTCAGTCACAGTGTTGTTTTGTGCGATTTTGAGGTTAACTCCTGTTTCAGATGTCGTCGAAAATCATCAAATCGGGGGGCGGCGACCCCGACCAGTTCGAGACTCAGGTGGCTCAAGCCTTGCTCGAACTCGAGATGAACTCTGATTTGAAGGCCCAACTCCGCGAGTTGCACATAACTAAAGCGAAGGAAATTGAACTAAACAACAAAAAGGTGGGTTTTTGGCCAAAACTTGTTGCACACCTGTTTAAAACAATGATGAGTAAACTTAGGACACCTAAAGAACACACAATGATTACAAGACTTCGTCTGAATGGCCAATTAATCGCTCATTTAACCCCAGTTTGGGTTTTTCTAATGTTTGGTTATTTTTTAGTCGGTGATAATCTACGTCCCCATGCCCAAGCTGAAGCAGTTCCAGAAGATCCAAACGCGGCTGGTGCGCGAATTGGAGAAGAAATTCAGCGGCAAACACGTCGTTTTCGTGGGGGAACGCAAGATTTTGCCCAAACCGACGCGCAAAACGCGCACTAAGAACAAGCAAAAGCGCCCCAGGTCGCGCACCCTCACCGCCGTCTACGACGCCATCCTCGAGGATCTGGTGTATCCGGCGGAAATCGTAGGTAAACGAATTCGAGTCAGACTCGACGGGTCGCAACTCATCAAAGTCCATCTCGACAAAAACCAACAAACCACGATTGAACACAAAGTAAGTCTCTGAAGCCCAAACTAAGTTGGCAACATTGATAATAATGCATGATGAGCTATTCTTAGGACACCTAAAGATGCACCATGATTAGAACTTGTGCCTGATTGGCCCAAAACGCATTCTTTGGTGTTTTGTGTGAGATTTATTGTGATTTTTTGTGGTGGTTTCAGGTGGACACATTCGCGTCCGTTTACAAAAAGTTGACAGGGAGGGAGGTCACTTTTGAGTTTCCAGAACCTTATTTGTAATATGTGGACAGTTATTTAATAAATAATTGAGTGATTCTTATTAAAGTAAAGTTTTTTCATTGAGCAATAAAAACTTTATTTGAAGCAAACTCCAATAAAAAATAACCATATTTTAACCTAAGTAGTTCACATATCACCTAGATTATAAAAAATCGAAATACATATAAAATCAGTTCTCTCACCTTGGCTAATTGAGTGATAACACAATAAACTACACAACAAAATACAATAAAAAAAATTAACCTGACTCGACTTTTTTGGTTTCAACTTCAATTATTTCGTCTTTATTTTCTACATCGTCTTTTTGATTTTTTTTACTATCTACTTGTTTTTCCTTAACATAATCGTCCAAGTCAACATTTTCAAAGACTTGATTTTCCCCAAAACTGACTCGTTTCGTATTAGTTTTATTAAAAACCCTAGGAATTGGCACCTCCTCCTCAACTGTAGGCCTCTCCTTTGGCCCCGCCTTACTAATTACGAGATAATTCAATGGTACCACCCCCGACCTCCCATTGGCCAGCGCAAACGCCCACCCTGAATTCTTCAAATTCATTTCCTCCTGTACATATGTGGGGGCTAACGTCAATTCGTCGTTTGTTTGGACACTCAATTCATTCTGACTCCGGGCAATGAAATCAAACGCTGCCTTTGCCCTAACTCCTGGAGTTTTCCAATTGGCCGGATCGCACTTATCTGAAACCAATGAAATTGATTAACCATGTTGGGGGCGGGGCGTGTGAAACCCACCTTCGTATTTCGGGAGGAATTTACTGATGATGTAGGGGGCGGAGACTAGAACGCCCAGAAACGCCAAAGTTGGCCAACTGGAGCCAGGGGCGGGGCCAGTGGGTGGCGCCCCGCCCGCTTGCTTCCAAGCCAATGACGCCGCACTATTGGGCACTTTTCGGCCAATCAGCCACATGAATTTCCGGTAGAGCCAATTGAACAACCGGAAGATGTTAACCGAGTACCAGATGTGGCCGAACATGGACCGGAGTCGCCCGAAGTTGTCCGCGACACTGAGTACGGCCCTGAAGGAGCTCGTCATGGCGAAAAACGTGTTGTCTAGCATCATGGAAATGCTGTTGACGGCGCGGACGATACTTTCGACGCTTGCGAAAGTGTGACGAGAGCTCTCCTCGGCGTATTGGATGAAGCGACGCTCGGCGTCGTCGTTCACCCCAAAACTGGGGTAACCCCCCATCCCGTACATGTTGTAGCCCCCGTACGAGCCGTAGGAGTTGTACATGGAGCTCCGGTAGGGCATGCCATAGCCCCCGCCGTACCCCAAACTGCTGTAACCTGAGCAAAGTGTGAGTGAGACAAGGTCCACATTTGCCGCTTTACTCACCACTAGAATAAGGCATGTAGGAGTTGTACGCTGAGGAGGCCATCAGGGGCGCAGTGCGAGGCAAAGGGGGCAACACGGGGGCGCTACGACCAGTTGTTGGAACATCACGGAAATTGTGCGTAGTGCGAATTTGAGTCGAGTTTTGCAAGGAGTTGGACTCCCAGGGCTTCAATGGCGATGTCATTGTGCACACAATCACATTTTTTGCAAATAATTGTGAGATTTTAAACAAATTACGATAATCTTTATCTGTCACCTAATGACATGAACTTTGACACTTCTTTGACAAATAACTGTCACCTGTCATTTCGCAAAAAAGAGCGCCAATTTACCAACAAGTGTTTCGCCCAACCATGACCGAAAATAAACCGTGAGTTTTATTAAATAATCACAATTATGCGCAGTTTTACGTCAATAATCACAAAAAAGTCTTAGTAATCAATAATTTGTTACTACAAAAATTGAAGGTTATGTGTGGTGCCATTTGGCTAAAGCTGCGCTTACACGAATTGCCCCTAGCGGCGGTAACTTGAACTAGTTTAATTTCAGGCGCGATTTGGACGACATCAACGAAATGCTTCATTTGGCCAAAATGAGTGAAAACGACGTGTTGCCAACCTCACAAACTGTCTATTTTACCAACGAGAATTTGTATTGTAACAATTTTAAATTTCTGGAGCTCGATCAACACTTAATTGGGGAATTGAAACAAGGACAAACGCTTTATATCAAGGGGGACGATGACGAAAACGTCGTACTTTGCACGAAAGATCGCACTTATGATGTCAATGGGGCTGAAACCTCAAATAGTCTATTACTCGTGAAAAATTTGAGTTTTTTTGATGATTTGAAAGATGGGCAAAAGAGGGCGCTCAAAACTGTCACGGTTTCGGGGATTTTTTACGAGTATTTGAGCATCACTCCGGGGAAGCCCCATCTGAAAAAACTGACAGATTTGTTGAACAAATCTGTGTATAAAGGCCCGGAACGTGAATATGAAATAAAAAATGAAGATTTGTACAGTTATGACGACTTGATTAAAATCGTTCAAGCGTCGGAGAAAGAGCTCAAAGACGTCTTAAAACACTTAAATGTTGTGACAATTGACGGGAAAATCAGGCTACTTGATGTCGAGTATCATTTTCGCGCCCTGTCCTATATGTTGAAACTGATTGAGGAAAATTCCTGGAATTTGGACGAAATTGACTTTGAGGAAACTCTAAACTCCCTCAGAGACATAATCCCGGAGGAAATTCTCATTTGTTTATTTGACAAATACACAGAAGAGTCAAAAACAATTGACGGTCTACAACTCTATTCGTACAAAGAGCCTGAAATTTGTCGTTTTTTCGCCCAGATTTTGCTCTACGGTGCCGGAAAATTCAATCTGGATGAATTCCTCCAAGCCTGGAGGGAATCAGTTCCCGAAGGAATGACTTGTGATGAGGAACTTTTGCACGGAATTGCGATAATTGACCGGAAAAGTGACCCTCCTGTAATTTCCGCTTTCCCAGAAGATAGCTTACCCGAAGATATCAATTCCCGTTTCAGCATGTTGTTTAAAGTGAAAGAAAAATGGACAGTTCCTGAAATAACACCCTATATAGAGTGAAAAAATCATTTTTGTGTGACTATAAATAAGTTTTTTGGTTTCAGACGCGTCGCGACGGACAAAATGGACGTCAATGCACTACTTGCGAAATTCGCACGGGCTTCCAATGTTGAAGGAGTCAAATATTACTCGGCCAAACATGCGAAATAATTACCACTATTATTATTTCCTCAAACGTGTAAACGCCACCTTATGTGTCATTTCGTGCGCATGCGCACACCTCTTAAACAATTAAATTTGATAAAAGACTACAAAATGCCCGTTTGTAGTGAAAACTACGAGAGTGAGATTTCAGAAGGACGCAATTGTCGAAGTGTGAAATGCAAATTTTGTGGTTCGGTGATTCTAAACCCTTCGACAGCGACATTTGCAAGTTTTGAGGTTAGGTGTGATGGTTGTAATTTTGTGCTGAAATTCCCCCAGTTTCAGTTGCCTCTCATCCAACAGAACAAAACGAATGAGACTGAGCCCGAAACTGAAACGGTTTCGTTTTTTTGGATCGTCAGCGACATGTACACCTTCCAAAATGTAGGGTTTTCACACACAGTTGGCAATAATAAATATCTGGCGTGTGCTGATTGTGAAGCTGGGCCCATTGGATACCACGATCTGGCGAATAAGACCAGCTTCGTGGCCCTGAGTCGAGTCCAACACTCTTAAACCCTATTTTATAGCTTTTTTATTTACGTGAAATAAATTATTTAAATTCTGTTGTGTCTATAGTGCCAACCCTGAAAAAACTAAAACCCTATTACACACCACACTAATCCCATGTAAATTGTGAATAATTAGACGAGTAAAAGGAGTTTTGTGGTGTTAACTCGTACACAACACTCCAACTTGCAGTGTTTTCATTTTGTTGTGTTAATTGTGTCAGCGGTGCCAACCTTGTGAAAATGAAACCCCCGCTACAAAACTCTTACTTTATTAGTCAGTATTTACATAAATATGGGGCCTACAATAATTAAAAAACTTAAATACAATACTGGAGTCACAATAACTTAATGGACGGAACTACATTGGCAGGATTGTGTTAAAACTGTCACCCTTTGTGGGCCCCCCGTTGATTCTTCAACCAGAGACAAGCACTTAGGACACTACTGGCAGTGAGTAGCGAGATCAAAATGGCCGAAACAAGCAAAAAATTCTGCGTCGTCATACAAACTTCCCCTTCGAAACTCGCAGTGTTGCCAACATCGTTCAAATCCTCCGCCAAAACGACTCTCAGGTGCTTCCCCATAGTGACCCCATCAGTGCTATTATAGTACGAGAGGTCCCGTCGGCGGCGCCTCCTCCCGGGCTCAATTTGCTGGTTGGGCTCCGGACACATTTGACAGTCGGTTTTACAGAGCTCTATATTGCACTGAATCATCAAATCCATCACATCTGGGAACTTGAAAGCGTTGAAAAACGCATAAGCGATAATGGAAGCCCCGGTATTCCCCGTATTGCGCGTCTTTTGGAACGCCCCGAACAGTTTCGGTTTGAGAATACAGCCGTTTTCGTCGGTGAGGGGGTACACGCGCTCCCCGGTCGAGTCCGTAGCCCTGCAGTCTTTCACCTGGATGTCGAATCCAGGGTCCCCACTCACGGAGATGACCAGCGTCATCTGCTCCCCGATTTTCACCAAGCCGTTGGCGGGGGGCGCGAAGGGGCCCTTCCCTAGCTGAATGTCCAGCTTAGCCATGGCGGTGTCGCCACTGAAAGTCACTATTTCCTGGCTGAGCATCCCCACACTGAGCGCCACGCTGAGGGAGTCCTTCAGGTTGCCCTCCCAGAGACACCTCACAGCCCGGATCGTGTCCCACACCTCCTGGATCCCCTGCTCGTTCTGGATCACGAGGACGTTCTCCAGGTAAGACTGACCTTGAGTGTCAAAAGCATTGATAAATTCGGTCCCACAAGAATTCAAACTAACAGTGAATCGGTATTTCGACATTTCGGAATTTTCGTTCACATAACGACACTCCGGAGTATTATAATACCCTTTGGAGTAGATAACTCCATTAAATTCTCGATTAAATTCAATTGTTATTGTCATCATGTCTTTGGCACACTCGACATCAATTGCGTGAATATGGGGGGGATGTTTCAAATCTTCGTCAGTTGGCACACCTGGTTGTGGCGTTTGGGGGATTTCCGTCGGTCCAGGCCGTGTAGTTGGCACTATGTTGTTCTCGTCAGGAGAGGGCGTGGCTTCGGTTGTTATCGCAGGCGATGTGAAATGAGTGGAGGGGGCGGAGGTAATAGGGGTAGCGGTGGAGGGGGCAGGAGTTTGAGGGGTTGTGACAGGTGGGCCGTAAGTCGGTGCAGGAGTGGGGGGTTGAGTGGTGGGGAAAGTGGGCCTTTGAGTGGGGAAGGCGGGCCTTTGAGAGGGGTATCCCGTCGGGGGTTGAGTCGGGAAGCCAGGCCGTTGGGTGGGGTATCCGGTCGGGGGTTGCGGCCGTTGGGTGGGGTATCCCGTCGGGAAGGTGGGTCTCTGGGAGGGGAAGCCCGTGGTGGGGTAGCCCGTGAAGGGCGGTTGCGGCGGGCCGGTGTGGGGCGGGGTTATCTCATTGGTGGGGGAGGGGTAGCCGGTGGTGGGATTGGTGTAAATGGGGAATGGGGGTTGGGGGGTGATTCCCGATGGGGGGTATCCCTGGGGTTCGAACGGCCGTGGTTTTTGTGTGTTGCTCGGAGGAAGATATTCACGAAGAGTGCCTTGGCGAACTAATTAACATTAAAAAATAGTCATTAATTAATAAAGTCGTGTATTGCAAGTTAATTAATAAATTATACAGAAGGATGTGGTTAATGTGACAATTTATTTAAGTTTTTCAACTCTAAAACACAATGTAATGAATGATAGTAAACCCATTATTGGATGTAATTAACTTTAATTATAGAATGAACAAATTAGGTTAACATACTTTTCCTGCTGTTCTGTGTGTAGACTCCTTGAAGCCATTGAAGGATGTTTTGGACCATTTGATCAGCACTGGTTTGCCTTGCGACTCTTTGTCCTGAATAAGTAACAAAAACTAAAAGAGTTAAATACGTTATTTTTATTACTACCTCCTTCCGCAACATCGCCACTGATGTCTTTAATCTGTGCCGACCACAGGGCGACAAACAGAATGGAAATTTTCATTCTGCAAAAACAAAAGTCACTAAAATAACCCAACCTCAAATTTGCCCAAAAATCAAATCATTATTTACACAAAAAGCAACCAAAACCCCAGTATCAAGCTGCATTTTAATTGTAATTGAAATTGACAGCTCAAATTTTGAAAATTCTTTAGTAACTTTTACAATTAGGGGTTGGTATGTGCAAAGGAAAAATGCCGATTAGACGAGGTAAAAAATCATAAAGAGACTCAATCAATCAATGCTTTTAAACCAATTTTGCCCCCTTGTTGTCCTCCTTCACGCTACGGTTCACCAAGAATAATTAATTTTTCAACTGACATTTGACAAAGAGTTGACAGTTGGACCGCCATAGGAGTTTTGCGTCGTTATTTACACAAAAAGGACTAAAACGTACCCACTTAATGCTTTTTCCAGTATCATAACACATTTTTAAATTGTAATTGACATTGACGGTTCAAATTTTTAAAATTCTTTAGTAACTTTTAGAATTAGGGGTTGGTATGTGCAAAGGAAAAATACCAATTAGACGAGGTAAAAAAATCGTATAGAGACTCAATCAATGCTTTTAACCGATTTTGCCCCCTTGTTGTCATCCTTCACGCCACGGTTCACCAAAAATAATTATTTTTTCAACTGACATTTGACAAAGATGAAACTTTTGACAATTGGACCGCCACGGGAGTTTTGCGTGGTTATTTACACAAAAAGCAACCAAAACTACCTATTTAATGCTTTCTACAGTATCAAGATAAATTTTTAAATTGTAATTGACATTGACGGTTCAAATTTTGAAAATTTTTTAGTAACTTTTACAATTAGGGGTTGGTATGTGCAAAGGAAAAATACCGATTAGATGAGGTAAAAAAAATCATACAGAGATTCAAACAATGCGTTTAAACCGATTTTGCCCCCTGTTGTCCTCCTTCACGCCACAGTTCACCAAAAATAATCATTTTTTTAACTGACATTTGACAAAGAGTTGACAGTTGGACCGCCACGGGAGTTTTGCGTCGTTATTTACACAAAAAGCAACTAAAACGTACCCATTTAATGCTTTCTCCAGGATCATGATACATTTTTAAATTGTAATTGACATTGACGGTTCAAATTTTGAAAATCCTTTAGTAACTTTTAGAATGAGGGGTTGGTACATGCAAAGGAAAATAATTGATTAGAAGAGACTAAGTGAATGCGTTGTGTCCCCTGTTGTCCTCTTTCAAACCACCGTTTATTAAAAATAATTATTTGTTCAAGTGACATTTGACAGTTGGGCCGCCGCTGGGAGTTTTGGGTTTGGAGGTTGGTACAAGTGTGCAAAAATTTGGCATTTTTCCCACCGGGTGTCTATTAATCTCTTGTCACTCATCGAGGCGTGTAATTATCTCTATTATTGCGCGCTAATTAGATGGCATCGCCATAAAAGGTGCAAATACCACTCGTGCAACTCAATTATTTCGGTGTCAGACGCGAATCTCATCGATAAGCTTCCATTATGTGAACACCCAACAAGGGCAAATTAACATGAATCTTATGTTACTTTCTCTGTTATTGTCTATCATTATTCCCATTGCATCAACGATACCCACTTTAGAAAATTTATTCGTTCTTAAATGACATTGACGATGACAATTGGACAATTTCGCGTATTATTAAAAAAATTGGCTATTGTGCAAGCGATTGGCTGAAAAAGAAACGTTTCTCAAAATGGCGGCGTTTTTTCGTCCATCATTAGTGTAATGACGGAAAACTTGTTTCCCAATCGTTGCATCACTGAATTAATCGAGCGCTGCCAACCTCCAAACGATTATTACCCCAGAATCTTTAAAAAAATTTTGACATTTGTTTGAGAAATATGTAAATGTCCAAAAGTGCGATATGGGAGTATTTCGCAAGTATGAAATGAAGTTCCCATTGCATCACTTGTGAATGCATGTTATAATTACAAAGTTATTTGTAAACTTTGATCCCAATCTAGATTTATTAGTACGCGTTGATGCAGCACTTTGCAACACATCTCATTACGCAATCTAGGATTTTATTGTCAATGGATTTCTCTCCTCGCACTTTCTTCGCTTCGATTATGATTTTTGTGTTCGAACTTGATTGCGATTTGGATGCCGGTGAACCGAAAAGAGCGACCGGAAGTTCGTCAAAGTCACATCAAATAGTGGCAATGAATTTTTAGAATGTCCATTTTTTTATTTTTTATTTTTTTTTCATTACAAATTCAAGAATTCGGGATGAGTTGATGTGATGTAACTCGGATTTCTCAGACGAGTGTGGACACAATGGTTTTTTGATGAGAATTTATCTCTTACAAAATAGTTAAAAAAGACGAGTTTTGGTTAACTTTGAGGTCAAAAGCGTGCGTAAGATGCGTTTCGTGACGAATGCTAATGAGAGGAATTCTTAATTAGCTCATTTGCATAAATATATGAATATTTATTATGTTTTACAATAAAATTTGTCAATTAGGGGGACCACAATGGAGGTTATTGCGTTTTTCTGTCATTTTCCCATTTTTACTATAAAAAAAATAAGTTGGCAACATTGAATTTTTGGTCAGCGGAATGACAATTGACCATAAAGTTGTGACTTTTGAATTTGACAGTCAATGTTACTAAATTTAGATTTTAGATTTGTTTTGACGAAAAATCACAATTTAATCACGCGGTAACTTCAAGATTGCCAACTTAATTTCAATCATTATAATAATCTGAAACTGTTGAATTTTTCTTCAGGTCAATAAAATAAAACTGAGTTTGCAACATTGAAGTTTCTATTGGCAACTATGAATTATTGATAATTTTAAGTGACGGCTTTGCCAGCAGTCGTCCGTCGGAAATGAATGACAATTGACTATAAAATTGTGACTTTTGAATTTGACAGTCAATGTTACCAAATTTAGATTTTCGATTTGTGGCCCACTTGACGAAAAATCACAATTTAATCATATGGTAACTTCAAAATTGCAAAATAAATAAAATCATTGTATAATCTGAAACTGCTGAAATTTTCTTCAGGTAAATAAAATAAAACTGAGTTAGCAACATTGAATAGTTTCTATGGCAACACTGATAATTTCAAGTGACGTCTTTGTCCGTCGGAAAAGAATGGCAATTGACTATAAAATTGTGACATTTGAAGTTGATATTCAATGTTGCCAACTTAAGATTTGTCAATTAGAAGGCACTAGAATTGAGAAGTTATGAATTGTATTTTTCTATCAATTTTCTATTTTTACTAACTTAAATTGTAAAAAACACAAATTTCTGATTAATAAAGTGGTCTCTGATTTTGAAATTGAGTTGGCAACATTGAATTATGATAATTTTCAAATAAAAAAATTATTGGCAACACCGAATTTTCAGTGACGGCTTTGCCTTTTGGAAAAATTTTGACATTTGAATTTGATAATCAATGATGCCAACTTAAGATTTCAGATTTGTAGCCTACTTGACAATCATTTTTACCAACATTTAACCACAATTCAGAAACTTTAAATTTATCACGATTTAATGAAAATAAATAACTCAGATTCATTCTAAATCGAAAAGCAGATGAACTGCAATTAAAAAAAAAAACTCTTTTTTTTCCTTCATCTAAACCTCAAAATCAACTAAATTGACATTTGTCATCAATCAACAAAAGTTTATCGCTTTAAGATTTGTAATTTATCGAACCGATAACTTATAGAACCAATGAAAATTAATAATTTCTAAAACACTAATGACTATTTAATTAACTGTTGCTTAATCAAGTGAGAATATTATTAATAATGGTAATTTTTTTACAACTAGTTAAAATACAGTTTTTTTTTCATTTTTTTTAAGTTGGTACGTTTTACAAACGACATTTTTTTGTTAAAACTCCCAAAAACACACTTAAATTCATATTTTCCCAAAAATTTTAGTTCCTAAAACAAGTCTTTTTGGGACTTTTCCCAAAATAGGCCGAAAAAAACTAATTTAGGGACTATTTTGAGAAGATAAAATAAAAGGTAAGCTATTTTTGGCAGCATATACAAAAAATAATAAAAATAATAAAAAGTAAAAAAAGGCTTTATTTTAAATTTTTGAACGGAAAAAACAAAAACTGTAAATTTAAAAATACACAACAGTAATTTTAAATATTAGATCATAGAGTGCTATCAACAGTTGCTTGGCAACGCTTCGTCTAAATTCTAAACCAATGAAATTGTCCGATTTTTTGATTTTTACAACGGACAAATTGTATAATTTATGAAACACAAACCACACAATTACAATAATTTCAGAAATTTTAATAAAAAATGTGAATTAATAAATAATTTATCAGTAATTAATAAAATTTGTTGAAATAGATATTTATAATAAATAATAATAATTAACAGAAAATAAAAGAAAAACTTTTAAGTTTTTTGAATTTTTATTTGTCAAAATTTTGGACGTTGATGAAAAATTTAAAAATTCGACTTTTTTGTTAAAAACCAAGCCAGAAAGTCAATTTTTATAAAAATTGTCAAGAGTTTAAACGAAAAAAAAAACGTTTTTTAATCATTTTGAGAATCAAAGTGTTATTAAAATTATCTACAATTTAATAAAAAAAAATCAAATAAACAATAATTTGTGTCAGAACTTAGAAAATCACCTTTAAGGCATGATTGTTGCCCTTTGGCAAACAAATCGCTTTAATGAAACCACAGAGTCGCAACCTCACGACCCAAACTGCAATTTCGCACAATTACCACTTATTGAATCTCGATTCCCTATAATTTCCCCCAAAGACGGAAGCATTTACACGCAAATCACCATTGTTTACCCGAATCCATCACTTCAACAACAATTTCGTTTCGAAATTTAGCGCAATTTATCTCTTTCAGTGTGCGCAAACGAGCCATTGTGTGAAATTTAAATATTTGTGCACACTTTCCTCTCATCTAAATTGGAAAAAAATTGCACAGAGAAACGCATTGTCCGCATCACAGGATGAGTTTTTGCGTAAAATCACACTCACTGTCACTCTTACCTGCGCCAGAGTTATCCTAAAACCCACAAATGACTAAAAACTAACTAAATGCATCTTCTCATCATTTGCCTTTTATATACGCACACTTGTTGGTGCTCGTGGACTCCCCCAATGGTACAAATCCCACTTTCGGCGCGCATCCCACCAAATTATTCGTCTGGTCGGCTGGGATGGAGAGAGTACCATGATCCCATCATCATGGTAGAGAAAAAGTACCACCGATGTACCAACGCAAGGCATGGTTCTAATTCAGCCAATTCGGTGGTGCGAAATGTCACTGTTTGATTGGATTATTGCGAAATGGTAATTATCGGGGCCTTCAAACGCCACGATTAGGCTAATTTACGGTAATTGCTCGGGTGTAAATGCGGCTATAAAATAATTCAGGCGATTTTGTGGCCTGTTTTTGATTTTTTTGCTAAATTGTTTAGCACAATAAATGAGTCAGTTTTAACCGCGGGAATTTTCACCGCGAGGCGATTTTTGGAAGATTTCTTGCGAAACTATGCCGAACAATGACCCATTTTTTTATTTTACAGTTTTATCAACAAGAAATTCGAATTTTAGGGAAATTACGTTTGTAACTAGAATTTTCAGAAGTAATTTTTAGTGCCTAAGGTTGGTTACATTAATTTTCCTTATTTTCAATTTTAAGCAAAAAAGAGTAAAAACACGTAAAACGGGACAAGTTTTGTGCCAAATAACGCGTGATATTTACATAGAAAAAGTATTTCGGGAAACCCTCCCCTAGATGCAGTGTTGTCAACACAAAAACAGTGGTATTGTGACAAACTGACAAAATAGTTTTTTCATTAGTTTGCGTTCAAATTTCAACCAAGAAAAGTGAAAACATGTAAAAAGGGACAAGTTTTGTGCAAAATTTGATAGGGTAAGTGAAATTTCATAATAAATTTGGGAAACAAATTTTTTTTATTACATAACCTCACTTTTGAATTTAAAATAACCGGTTAAAAATGTCTTTTTTAGATAGTTTGTACAGTACACATTAAAATAACAACTTGTTTATTTGTCGGGTGAAAAACACCCGGAGTTATCCGGAGTCATAGTTTCGCCAAATTTGATTCGTTTTTAAAAATTTTTTTTTGATTCTTTAAATAGCATTTGTTTAGGTGAAAAACACAAACTGATTTATATTTTGAGGTGAGTTTAAACGAGAAATTGTCGATTCCGGGATGTTGCAAGTCTCCGGATTTCTGAAAAATAAGTTCAAGTTTAGCTCCGGAGTTCAATATCGGTCGATGATTCGAAAACTAGTTCTTATCGGACATTTTAGCTTCCGGAATCGTGATTTTTAGGCAATTCTACAATTATTAAATCAATTTGAAGTGTTTTTGTTAAGTTATTTTGCAGATTTTAAATAATTCATTAATTTAAAATTTTTTAAATATTATTTTCACAACTTTAAATTTATTTTTCTTAAAAACTATAATTTTTACAGCAAAAGTAAAAATATGATCGGAATTTACCGATGTTTAATAAATAATAAATTAATAATAAACTCAGAGTTGACCGGAGTCACAGTTTCGCAAAAAAGACGTTAAATTTTGGTTCATTTTTAAAAGAAAATTTTTCGATTACTCAAAAAAAACACTAACGGATTCGAATTTTTTGGACGATTTTTTATAGGAGATTTTGACGATTCCGGGATGTTGCGAGTCTCCGGATTTCCGACAAATTTAGCTCCGGGTTTCGACCGACGAAATTTAGTCGATATTTCGAAAATTAGTTTTTGTAGAAATTTTAGCTTTCGGAATCGTTATTTTTCGCGATTCTACAACTAGAAAATAGAATTTGAAGATTTTTTGTGGAGTTGTTTTGCAGATTTTGAATAATTTTTTAGTTTTTTTTTTAAACTTTAATCACATTTTCCTCGAAAACTGTAGATCGGACGACAAAAATAAAACACTGTCAGAATCTACGAACGATTGTCTATCGAGTGATAAAAACCGGAGTTATCCGGAGTCATAGTTTCGCTACCAAAGATGTTCAAATTTGTCTCATTTTTTAAACAAATTTTTTCGTTTATTAAAAAATTATCAAACAATATAAACGAATTCAGGATTCTCAGACGATTTTAGATGAAAAAAATGTGATTCCGGGCGTTTTCAGTAACAAACTTATTTTAAGCTCGATTTTGGCCAAAAAAACTGAAAACTCAAAAACTATCAATTGTGGTCAATTTTAAATTTCAGAATCGCGATTCTAGCACGGTTTTACATCACATAGTCGAATTTGAAGAGTTTGTATTCTCCCATTAAACAGATTTTGACTCATTTATGAAATCAAAAATTTTATTTTTCGAATTTGAAATACGAAAAACAACATAGGATTTCAACCGACGAAATATCGTTCAAAAACTATCGATATTTTAACTTCTAGAATCGTGATTCTTACGAGTTTTACGGCTAGAAAAGCATTTAAAATGGTGACATTTTGCTAAAAAAATACACAAATTGAATAAAACAAAAGAAAATAATCAACTAGGACAAAATTTTCAGAATCTTTGTCAGGAAAAGAAAGGAAAAATCTAAATAAAAAACTCGGAGATTCTAATTGGGTAAAATTTTGCAATTGTTCCAATTTTCGTGCTCTGAGCCGGATTTTAGGCACTTTTGAACATTTTTAAGTCCACTTTTATTGTTTTCGTTCAAGGTGAGCGATTTGAGATACCAAACCAATTTGTACACCTTGTATTAGCGATGATCAGTAAGATTACATTAACAAATGTTAATTACAGATAAGAGAAACAAAATAGACAAGGTCATGAATTACAAAATAATGGATTATTCAATTAATACAACACATAGATTAGAAGCACGTTCTATTAACATTCTTCGACTTAAAAATCAAATGATTAAGTGATTTTCTATTTAATTATTAGCGTTTGTTCTGATTGCATATTTCGTAATTGCAATGCTTCCAACTTTCATTAGTTAAATTTGCATCTGGGGACCGAATTTGAATTCCACGTGAAACTAGAATTAATCTTGATGAAAGTTGGGTAAACCACATAAATGTGATCGTATCGTTTCCGAGAACAAACTTAAAAAAGACAGTTTTTTGAATTAATTATCGAGTTTTTCCCCCGATTGCGCAACTCTATGATAATTTTCCTTCAATCAACAAAAGAATCGTCGTCTTGACTTTCTACAAGCAATTTCCATTTCAATAAAAGGAGTAAATTCACCGCAAAGTGATTAAACTCTTCATCTTCCATTCAAAACACGTTCTTCTCTGGTCTAAGAATTTTATTGTCTCTTAACATTTGGTATAAAATCGGTAATTGGCGATTATTAGAAGAAATGTCAAGAATAGTGGCCAATACCTTGACGTATTGTCCGAATTCTAAGACGATTAGGTGACTTAACGAGGCCAATAGTGTGTTATGACACACTTTCAGTAACAAAAGGATGATTTGTGGGAATTGGTCCAATTATATCATCGAATTCTCACTCCCTCACATTCAGTGTGCAATTTTTGATGAATTTGGACGTTGCGTTAGAAAAAGTGAAATTTAATTCTTCCATCCCTCTTGTTAAAAATTTAGCGTGAAATGTTTTGCAATTTTTACCGATCTGTTTCAAGGCTATTGAGAAGAGTTCAGATTCATGACTAATTTGCATGGAAATTGGAACACTTGCAAAATTTTATAAAATCAGGATTTTATTTCGATTTTTCCTTTCTTTTCCGTGCATATGGTTGGCGATTTCGTTGAATTCCTCTGAAAATCTTGTCCTAGTTGCATTATTTTATTTTGTTTTCTTCAATTTGTGTGATTAAAATAACTTAAAGTTGATAGTTTTTGAGTTTTTGACCGATATTTCGTCGGTTGAAATCCGAGGTTGTGTTTCGTATTTCAGATTCAAAAAATTAAATTTTTAATTTTTGATTTCGTAAATGAGTCAAAATCTGTGTAATGGCACAATACAAACTCTTCAAATTCAACTATTTGATGTAAAACCGATTCTGAAAGTTAAAATTGACCACAATTGATAGTTTTTGAGTTTTCAGTTTTTTTGTCCAAAAGCGAGCTTAAAATTATTTTCTTACTCAAAACGCCTGGAATCATCTTTTTTTCATGTAAAAACGTCTGAGAATCCTCAATTCGTTATTGTTATTTAAACCGATAACTTTTCAACGAACGAAAAAATTTGTTATAAAAATGAGACAAATTTGAACACTTTTGGTAGCGAAACTGTGACTCCGGATAACTCCGGTTTTCATCACACTATAGACAATCGTTCGTAGATTCTGACAGTGTTTTATTTTTGTCGTCCGATGTACAGTTTTCGAGGAAAATGTGATTAAAGTTTAAAAAAAAAATCCAAAAAATTATTCAAAATCTGCAAAATAACTTAAGAAAAACTCTTCAAATTCTATTTTCTGGTTATAGAAGAGCGAAAAATAACGATTCCGGTAGCTAAAATTCCTACAAAAACTAATTTTCGAAATATCGACTAAATTTCGTCGGTCGAAACCCGGAGCTAAATTTTTCGGAAATCCGGAGACTCGCAGCATCCCGGAATCACCAAAATCTCCTATTAAATATCGTCTAAAAAATTCGAATCCATTAGTGTTTTTTTTTTGAGTAATCGAAAAATTTTCTTTTAAAAATGAACCAAAAGTTAACGTCTTTTTTCAAAACTGTGACTCCGGTTAACTTCGAGTTTATTTTTAATTTATTATTTATTAATCATCTGTAAATTCCGATTACATTTTTACCTCTGCTGTAAAATTTGTAGTTTTTAAGAAAAATAAATTTAAAATAATAGATATTTAAAAAAATTAATTAATGAATTATTTAAAATCTGCAAAATAACTTAACAAAAACTCTTCAAATTGATTTTCTAATTGTAGAATTACATGAAAATCATGATTCCGGAAGCTAAAATGTCCGACAAGAACTAGTTTTCGAGTTAGTTTCGGTCGAACTCCGGAGTTAAACTTGAACTTGTTTTTCAGAAATCCGGATACTCGCAACATCCCGGAATCAACAATTTCTCGGATAAAATTGACTGCAAAATCCAAACCAGTTTGGGTTTTCACCTAAACAAATGATTT